CCTTTTCTAGATCTGATTTTTTATTTATTTTCGTCTAGTGGTACCATTTTCTTCTAGTAGCGTACCAGTGATAGTAGTACGCTACCACTACCATCTGGTAACTGGTAGTGGTATGCTACCACTATCATTCTGTACTAGTATCGTACCAGTAGAAAAATCATTACCACTAGACTAATGGACTGGCATACTTTTTAATGCACTGGTACATTTTTGCAGGTTGCCTGAGGGAGTCTGTCGGAGAGATTTCGCTGGAGGAAGTCTGTCGGAAGGATTTCACCGGAGAAAAAGTCTGTCGGTCGAAGCGAATTGGTTGTTGGAAAAGAAAGAGAGAGATATAAATGTATTTTATTTGTATGATTTAAATTTCAAAACAGCCTTGTATTTAATGTGGATTTTTAATTCCCAATTTAATTAATACAAAATAAAATAATTAATATATTCTTTTTTTTTTGTCATACCCAAAATGCCCTTGGTTGTCAATCTGACAACCTCGAAGGGGGTTGTCACCATATCCGCTCCCCACTTTTTGTGACGTGATTCTACGAAAAAGTGTTTTAGAGCTCTCTCTAATATGTTTGATAAAGCGGGGTAAGTTTCTAACAAAATCCACATGTGACCCAATCTGTTGATCACAAAAAGCGGGTACAACTCGTCCACGAACCAAAAAATTTCAACACGGGATTCAACTCGATAAAGCGAAGCAAATTTGTAAAAAAATCCACAATCGATCCAATTCATTAATTACAAAAGCGGGTAAAATTGATTCCCGACCCAAAATGCGGCAACAACGGTATCGGGTTGAATTAGCTTAAACAAATATGAATATGGGTTCAATTCAATCGTCATAAGACGTGGGTTCAATTAGGGTTCACTCCCAAAGCGACCCAATTTTTTTGAAAACTGGATTCAACTTCCTTATTCCGGTTTGATAAAGAGGGGTGAGCTTTTAACAAAATCCACATGCAACCCAATTCGTTGATTACAAAAGCGGTAAAACTTGTTCCCGACTCAAAATTCGTCAACACTGGATTCAACTCGATAAAGCTGGCCGAGTTTGCAACAAAAATCCTCACCCGACCCAATTTGTTAATTTGTTAAGTACAAAAGCGGGTAAAATTTGTTCTCGACCCAAAACTCGACAACACCGGTACCAGGTCAAATTAGCTTGAACACACATGAATTTGGGTTCAACTGTCATAAGAGGCGGGTTAAATTTGGGTTCAATCCCAAAGCGACCCAAAATTTGTGAGCACACATGAATTAGCATGAACTCACATGAATTTCTCTGGCCGGTTTGATACAGCGGGCGAGTTTCTAACAAAATCCACACTCGACCCAATTCGTCGATCACAAAAGCAGTTAAAATGCGTTTTCGACCCAATTCGATGATTACAAAGATGGATAAAATTCATTCACGCCCCAAAAAGTGTAAAGGGTAAAACTTGTCATCGACACAAAATGCGTCAACACTGAGTTTAAGTCGATAAAGTGGGGCTTTGGGTTCAACTGTCAAAAGAGGCGGGTTCAATCCCAAAGCAATCCAAAATTTGTGGACACACATGAATTAACTTGAACACACATGACTTTCTGCGACCAGTTTGATAAAAAGGGGCTAGTTTCTAACAAAATCCACACGCGATCCAATCCGTCAATCAACAAAGCGGGTAAAATGAGTTCTCGCCCCCAAAAGTGACAAGGGTAAAACTCTTCATCGACCCAAAATGCGTCAACACTGGATTTAACTCGATAAGGTGGAGTGCGTTTTTAACAAAATGCACACCTGACCCTATTCCTTAATTTTAAAAGCGGGTAAAATTAATTCTCGACCCAAAACTCGCTAACACCGATACCTAGGGCTGGATTTTCGGTTATCTCGGTTATAATCGATAACCAAAATGTCGGTTACCGATTAATCGCGAAGCCAGACACGCCTACCGCCAACCGCCCGACGGAGCCCATCGGTTATCCGACAATCGATCGCTCGGTTACCGGTTAGTTGCTCAGTTAACCGAGTTAACCGCAATAATTAAAGGAGAGGAACAACAGCGGTTGCTGGCTGCTGGTGGACTGGTCGGTGGACGAACAACGACAGGGGACTATGGCTGGCGACGGAGGAACGGCGGAGAAGGATTTTGGCTGGCGGCGAGTTGTGACTATCGCTGGCGACGCTGGAACGGCGGCGGAGGAACGGCGGCTGTTGGCTACTCGTGGACTGGTCGGGGTCTCGGGAGGAGATGGCGAAGCAGCAAGGGCGCTGGGCGCGGGTCGTGGAGGGAGATGGCGGCGTAGCAGGGGCGCCAGGCGCGGGTCGGGGAGATTCGCCGTTCAACCTGAACGGTTCAGGGCAGGGGAGAAGGGAGTCAGGGCAGGCGGGCGGCGGCAAAGAGTTCTCTTCGCGTCGCGATGCAGAGAGGAGAAGGGAAGGGTCGTGGTTAGGGGTGGGCGGGTGGATTCGATTAGAGATTTAGGGTTAGTTCTTGCGGCGTCGTTTTACGAAAAATGAGGGGGGTTAGATGTGTCGGTTAGTCGGTTAACCGGCGGTTATCGCCCTTGGTTAGCCGGTTAACCGCCACATCTAACCCCCCTACCGAACACCCCCCGCGAACATAATTTTCGGTTTATCAAGATGGATATATCGTGCGGATTATTAGAGAAAATATATAACTTACTATGATAACGATAATTGGAATAGAAAATTAGTTCCCATCAATGCATGTGCTTTTGAAATTAGGTTTAGTCTGCTACTACCTACTGTCAATGCACATGTTAGTAAAATATATTCTTGAATGGGATAGTTGACCAGTCTAATAGAGTGAAACGATATTGTGAATGATTATATGGTGACGGGTGAGATAAATTAAGAGAAATCTTAATAATTTGAATAATTATGTAGTTTTAAAATAATTTGATAATATGAAACATGAAATTTCATAATAAGTTATTGTTCAAAAATTATTTACGTTATCTTTTTTAATGTACCCCTTCAATGAAATTCTAGACCTACACCACTGTTTCTAGTAATCTGATATTGATTCTTCTCCTTACAATATCGATTCTAACTGATAACTTGTATTTAGTATATGTTTTTCACTTAGGTTTTACTATCTTTTGCATTGTCGTTTTTACCAAGATATGTATATTACTGCCATTATTATGCATGATATGTTGGTTTGTGTTTTATGTTGTCGTATATTAAATTAGATTAGGAACGGAGTCCAAATTTTACAATTGGATACAATAATTTTTTCACCACAACCAAATAATAGACTAAGAAGATTTCATCCAATTTTTTTTTTTAAATAGAAATGTCCAAATTGTTTTGACATCAAAAAATTATCTAAAATAACGCTTACACCCACTTACACCACGAGCTCAATGGTTATACATAAAGACAATCTAAGCATTGACTAACTCATCCTTTTAATTGACTTTCCAGTATTCCAAAGTCTATAAGGAAAAGGAAAATACAGTGTGAGGATATGCACTTATATATGTTGAAGAAAAAGAATGACTGTCTGTATGTTGAGGTACCGATCGAGTGAATTGTTAAAAGAGAAGATGGAGATTTTTTTTAGTACAATAAAGACTTACTAAAAAATCAGTTAGGGGCTAAGATCTGGTGACTAAGGGGGGTCCCTTTAGTCACATGACTAAGTGAATCTCCACCCTTGCACCTCATTAAAATCCAAGGGCTGCTATTAATTCAATTTAATGAAGGACAATGTAGTAATTGCTTGTTTATTTTTAATTTTTAATTATAAAAGAAATAAAAAAAAGCCCAGCGCCAGCCGGCCGGCCGTCGCGTCGCCTCCCCGTCTCCGTTCTGATAATTGCGCGGCCAGAGGGAATTCCTGGGGGCGCCATTATTGATTTATTTCCATGGGGAATTTTCCCCAGCGAGTATTGTGTGCGGCCATTGTGCCATTATTCCCCAGAGAGAGAGAGAGAGTCGGAAACTTTTTCTGGTCGGAAAATTTTTTCCCGGCGACCATCGTGAACGGAGAAGAATTTTCCGGCGACAGTGCAAATTTTGTAATGTTTGTTGACATATTTTGTAATGTTTGTACGCTTTGTTATTTTGTAATTTCGTAAACTTTGTTATTTTTGTGCACCATGTTTGTCATTTTTGTCCACCATGTTCGTAATGTTTGTATGTCTAAAAAACACCCGGGTTGACTTTGGGAAGGAGCCCCTCTATATAGGGATGGAGCCTCCAAAGTCAACCCGGGTGTTTTTTCCCGTTCGTATGGATTGTCGGTCTAGTTTGTCATTTTTGTCCACCATGTTCGTACTGTTTGTATGTCTAAAAAACACCCGGGTTGACTTTGGAAAGGAGCCCCTCTATATAGGGATGGAGCCTCAAAAGTCAACCCGGTTGTTTTTTCTTTTTGTATGGTTTGTATTGTTTGTCGGTCTAGTTTGTATTGTTTGTACAGTTCATACGTTTGTAATGTTTGTAAATCTGTTTGTATGTTTTGTCGCTCTAGTTTGTACTGTTCGTATGTTTGTATGGTTTGTACTGATTGTATATCCGGTTTGTATACTTCGTAATTTTCCATAATACCCAAACTACCCCTGTCATTAATTAAATAGCCCTTTCCACTTTTTAACCATTGGATTGAAGTGTCCAGATCTAAAGGCTGGGAGGGGCTTAGTCAAGTGACTAAGCACCCCCCTTAGTCACTGGATCCGCTCTCAATCAGTTAGTTAGGATATTACATTTATTTATATTCCTTCTAACTTATTTTTCGATCATGACGATAATATCAATTGAATTTTACTCTATATTTAAAAGACACCAATAATATCAATTTTGATGTATTGCACCAACTTTTACAACAAAATCTAACTAACTAGCTCCAATCCCTTTTCCCAAAACAAACATTAGCAATAGCAACAGAAGTAAAAAAACATATAACTAATAATTGTTACATCAATTGATCTGTGTCTCACAATTGTTAATAATTACCTCTATCTCTGTAAAATACTTTCTGTTTCAATCTCAACACAATGTTCCCCATAATTGATAATACCCTATTAATTAGCTATGAAAATTCCAACAAAAATCCCCATTATACATTTCCTTCTTCTAATTTGTTTCCTAAGAAAAAGTTTCAAACTTCTTGTTGTTCTTTTTGCCCCAGGCCAAACTAAGGCCTGGTTATGGTCTGATGGCGGCCATGGCAAAAAGAACAGCCACGCCTCAATGTTCTTAAAATTCTCGTCAAAAAAATTCTTTCCCCACCTTCAAACTTCATGAAATTACTCTGAATCTAATTAACATATTCACCCTTTTCATCCGTCTCAAAAAAATTGTTCGTTTTTTTATAATATAATCAGTTTCCCTCTTAAAGTTCCCATTTCTTTTGTTGTGTTATTCTTTGGAGTATTACGGAACAAATTTTTTTTTTTAAAATGGCGCCTGGCTTTGTAAGAACAAGTTCAAACATCGAAGGAGAAAACCCAGGAGTAACAGCAATTGCGGTTGATATGGGCAAGAACAGCCATTTTGCTGTGAAATGGGCTACAGACAATCTCTTGAAAAAGGGCGACTCTTCCTCTTGCATTCTTGTTCATGTCCACCACAAACCAGCTCCCAATCGTGAGTTCCTTTTATTTTTTTTAGACTCATTATTATAATGTTCATGTCCATTCTTATGCTGTTATGCATTCTAATTTGTGCATGAAATCCTGCCCCAAAAAAAAAGAAAGTTTGCTTGAGAAATCCACCTTTTTACGTCCAAATATCCTGTTCTTTTCTATGCACGAAATCAGACTGTGTCTTTCTCGTTCAATTTTCACAAAACCAATTTACAGGTATGGAAGAATTGATTGACCTTGATATTTGGCAGAGAACCCAAATGGGCCATCCAAGAAGGAGCTGCAGCAACTATTCCTTCCGTTCCGAGGATTTTGTGCCAGAAAAGGGGTGAGTAGTGTCCAGAAAAAGAAAAAAAAAATATCAATGAGATTTGTGTCTTGTGCGACCAATTTTTTTTTTGCTTTTTCTTTATCTTCTTAAATAATGTGTTTGGTAATATTGTTGTCTGCTGTATAATATTTCCAGATTAAAGCCCAGGAAGTGCTTCTGTTTGATACAGATATAGCAAAAGCTCTCTTAGAATTCATTGCCAAGAACTCCGTAGCGACTCTGGTCATTGGTGCCACCAACAAGAGTGCTTTCTCCAGGTTCTGTCTCTTAGATAAGATAAATACTTCCCTTATGAATACGGATCCTTTGTCGTTATCGTATTCTATTGTTGTAACACGTGCTTGGTAACACGTGCTTAGTAATTAATTACGTGCTATAGTATGTTACACTAAGTTTGGAATGAACCAAACCTTATACATTAATTAATTATGAATCTTTACTTTTAATTCAATCATATCTCGATTTGGTTCCACTGTCTCAGGAAGTTCTGGAGCGTCAGCCTTTCAACAACCCTACTCCAGGCCGCACCGGATTCCTGTTCCGTCTACGTCATCTCCAAGGGCAAACTCCAGAGCTTGCGGCTAGCAAATCAGCCGCCGCCGCATAACCACCAGCTCCCTCCGCCGAGCCCCGACCAGCAGTCCGAAGTAATGTCGGTGTCGGAGTACAGCTACAGCCAGGGGAGCTTCAGGAGCGAGTTATCGTCCGACAGAATGTCCGTCGAGAGCAGCGAATCCGCCGGTGTTACCAGAATGTCGGCGAACAGAGGCGGCGGCGGCGGGTATGGCAGAACACCAGCTGTACCTTCGGGGCATCATCATCAAGGCAGGATGATCAGTAGGTTGCCCGCGGCGGAATCTGCCGGCATGTCGAATTTCAGCGATGCTTCGTCGGCGTCGTCGTTGTCGTCGGCGGTGATGACGAGGAACTTTCAGTATGTCGATGCGGCGTCGTATGAGAGCAATAATAATAGTACGGAGTTCTCTGGGTTGTCGGCTAGTTCTACCAGCTCAAATAATTCATCCGAAAACATGGTAAGGAATTAGATTCTATTCTATGTTCCCTTTGATTATTTGGTATTTTTCTGATTAATTTTTAGATCACTTATACTATGCTATATAGTATTGGTGCTTTAATATATAATTTTAGGTTATACCATAACAATAAATGTATAAGTTTAGGTTGTACCATAAAGGAATTTGTACCATTATGTAATGGTACAACTTTATAACTTGAAGTTGTATCATCACATAAAGGTACAAGTTCAAGTTGTACCATAAAAGAATTTGCACAGAAAGTATAGGTACAATTTGAAATTGTACCATAACGTTATATGTGTCAAGAACCAGTTGATCCCAATAACTCGAGTTGTTGGGAGAGGTTCAATCGTGGATCATATACCACAACACTAACACGCCCCCTCAAACGAAAGCCACTCACAAGGGCTTGAAGTTTGCACAGGTCTGAAGACAAGAATACCATGTGCTTAACAAATGGTGGTCACCGGGAATCGAACACAAGACCTCTCGGTCACAGAAGGCTCTGATACCATGTCAAGAACCAGTTGATCCCAATAACTCGAGTTGTTGGGAGAGGTTCAATCGTGGATCATATACCACAACACTAACAATATGTACAATTTCAAATTGTACCATAAGAACAAAAACATATAGCGCCAATGCTATATAGCATTGTAAAATTCCTCTAATTTTTAATCTTTTCTGACACATTAGATTTGTTAGATAAAATCATTCTTATTGCAAATTAGTTCCTGAATTTTATTTTTCACAAATTGGTCTATAACTTTTGGTGGTTAAATTATATTTTAATACCATTACATTTTTAATATTGAACTTTTAATTTTATAAAAATATTTAATATGTTGTCGCGAGAAATTTCAAATCACTAGTTATTGATGTTTATTTTAAAGTCGCAAGCAATAAATTACATATGTATTTCTAGTTGATTTATGTTTTTGGCACAAATTCAGATATCATTTTTAATTAAGATATAAAAAAAAATATTTAAAATTCCAAATTTTAAATCCAAATCCTTCTATCAAACCCACATGCATCTTTTTTATATAAATAAAAAGGTAGCCATGTGACTAAAAAGTTAAATTTAAATTTTATTTAGTTATAAAATATCATTTTGAAACGGTGCATTTCATTCGTGTAATCCATATGTTTCGAGTATTATATATTCTCAAAACACATGTATTCTAAGCCCCTTACTTGCTGGTTCTACTTTCCATGATGTAGGTAAAAATCATTAAAACATTACACTATTTTTACCATTAGAAATTACTAGCTAGTAAAAAATGGACCAATACCACTAGGAAATCCGAACTATTAAGAATGTGTCATTTGTGTCCTAAAGTATCCAATATGACATTTGTGTCCTAAATTATTTTTCCGTTAGAGTTGACCGGCGTTGACCATTAGTATTTAACAAATGACACATTCTTAATAGTTCGGGTTAGGACATAAATGACATAAAACTATAATATGTTGGGACATAAATGATACAATACTACAATAGGTTGAGACACAAATGTCATATTGGATACTTTAGGACACAAATGACACATTCTTGATAGGGATGACAATGGAGCGGGTTTGGGGCGGGTTTGTCTAAACCATCCCCATCCCCATCTTCAAATATTCAAACCCATACCCACCCCATACCCATGCGGGGGAATGTTTGGCAAACTCATCCCCATACCCGTGGGTTTCGGGTACCCATGGGTAATACCCGTACTCGTACATCCAACATTATTATCCTAAAATTTACAAGAAAAGTTTTAACTACAACTCTAAACGTACCTATTATATCACGAATTCAACAAACACATGATCATTTTCTTAATACGATTCAAAGAATATGATCCTAAAACATATATTTTTCAAATTATTATGTTTTAACTCTGATACATCTACTAAGTAATAATTAACTAACATAATCTTGTTGACAAAGGGGAAAGTGAAAGAGTGAAAGGAGAATTGAGGGAAATGAATTAGGTTTTGATTAAGGTGGTCACTCAATTGCATTTCTATTATTTATTTCCTTGAGTTATCCTCATCACCATTGATAGATTATAATTTGATCCACAAGTTTTTGTATATGTGAAGAAATTCTCTTGGTGGGGCGGATATGAGTATGGGTATGGGGCGGGGGAGGCTAAAAGCATACCCGCCCCATACCCATCAAACTTTTTGCGGGTTTTACCCATACCCGCCCCATACCCGGTCAAAGCGGGGATTACCCGCGTTGACTGGGTCGGGGACGGTTGGGTACCCGCAGCCGTGGGTTTGATTGTCATCCCTAATTCTTGATAGTTCGGGTTTCCTAGTGGTATTAGCTAGCCCTAAAAAATTTGACGCTTCTTCTTCTTTGGTGATTTCTGCTATAAACCAAAAACTTATTTCCACGCCCCTCAAACATATGTCAATTCATGACTTTGAAGTTTGCACAGACTCACCATATCATGTGCTTTAGAAAATAATTAATATTGGAAGTCATTAGGACTTGAACACATGATCTCAAAGACAAACCAACTCTGATACAATGTCATAAACCAACTGATACCAATAATTCTAATTGCTAAGAGATGCTCATGTATGATATTTAGCCACTTTCTTACCATTTCTTCGTGGCAATTACGTACAGCAATTGATTGAGTCAGAAATCAGGAGAATGAAGCTTGAACTGCAGAAAAATCTCGATGCTTACCATTCCATTTGCAAAGATGCTGCCACGGCCAATCAAATGGTATATCGAGTTATTATGTTTGTTAAAATTTCCAGTGATATACTTTTAAGTCAATTTATCTCGGGTATGAGAAGGAACTACATACGAGTGTTTCCAGTTATAGTGGTTATATACGATCGAGTTATTACTTATTAGTTTATGGTTTCATCTAATAAGTAGATTTATAAGGATGAATTGAGACCTATCGAGTCACATTACTTATTATCACCTTATCTACATTTTGTTCCACAGATGACAAAACCGCAAAATTTCCATTCTCGTGAATCCGAATCCGACGAGGATTCCACTATGTCCTTGAACCTCGAGATTTCAACACCGGAAATCGAATTACAGAGGAACAAGGCGGCGAGAATATCACAACTATTGTCGGAGATGGAAGGTCAGAAGAAGCAAAACGCAGAAATAATGAGAGCCAATTACAAGCAAGCTCTAAGAGATAAGAACCACCACAACTCTAGATCAACGGAGTCGCTTGCATATTACGGCGGCAGCCAAAATCCTATTGTTCAGTTCAGAGAGTATAACATCCAAGATATAGAGATGTCGACGAACCACTTTGCCCCGTCGAAAAAGATTGGTGAAGGTGGGTATGGACCTGTTTATAAAGGCATAATCGATGACGTTCCTGTCGCGATCAAGGTTGTCAGACCAGACTTGTCTCAAGGACAAAAACAGTTCCAAAAAGAGGTAATTAAAGTAACTTCTGTTTAAATATATGAATAGCACGAAAAGAAGGATGGACTGCTTTTATCATTCATTTTCTCTCTCTCAACAGGTCGAGGTATTGAGCACCGTGAGACACCCACACATGGTGAATCTCCTGGGCGCATGCCCTCAATACGGGTGCCTGGTCTATGAGTACATGGACAATGGGAGCTTAGAAGACCGTCTCATGAGGAAAGACAACACCCCGACGATCCCATGGTCCACGAGGTTCAAGATAGCCTCCGAGATCGCCACGGGCCTGCTCTACCTCCACGAGCACAGGCCCGAGCCCATCGTCCACCGTGACCTCAAGCCCGCCAACATCCTTCTGGATTCCAACTACGTTAGCAAGATAGGGGACGTGGGTCTCGCGAGGCTCGTCCCGGGGGCCGCACCAAACAGTAACGTGACACGATACCATATGACTGCAGCGGCAGGGACGTTTTGTTACATTGACCCGGAATACCAGCAGACAGGGCTATTGTCCGTGAAATCGGACTTGTTCTCACTCGGTGTGGTTCTGTTGCAGCTCATCACGGGGAAACCTCCGATGGGGTTGTCGTACCATGTCGAAGAAGCCGTCGAGAACGAGAGGTTCGCGACGGTTCTTGACCCGACGGTTAAGGATTGGCCCGTGGAGGAGGCTCTGTCGCTCGCCAAGCTGGCATTGCAGTGTTGTGAGCTGAGGAAGAAGGATAGACCTAGCCTTGGGAATGTAGTGCTTCCGGAGTTGAACCGGTTGAGAGATTTTGCTGTGGGTTTCTCGTTGGGTTGTCCAGAAGACATGGATGTTGCACCACCACACTATAACGAGGTATGCGGTAGTTGTTCTTGAAGGAAAAAAAGGGTATCTTTGAGTATTATATAGAAAATGGGTTCTTTTTGTTGAAATGTTAGAATGTTTGAGTGTCTTTTTTCTAATTTTTCTTTGTCTGGGATCATTTCAGGAACTTTTCAGAAGATGAAAGTGGGAAAATGGTGGCTAGCTAGCTCAAAAGGGGAGGGAAGGTTTTGTGTTGGTCTTCATGTTATTCAAGTTTCCAACTTTGTTTATTTAGATGGGGAGAATCATTTGATTCATTTCCATTATTATTATGGAGAATAATCATGAAACAATCTATGAAAGAAAAAGAGGTGAGACATGCAGGGGAAAGAAGTCAAGAACTATTGAAAGTTTTGAGAGAAAAATGTGAAAGGGTAGGGATATGGAAGAAGAGGTGGGGAAAGAATTATTGACTCATTTAGATTGTAAATTTTTCTGTCTAATAATTTTTGGATTCAATTATGTTTTTCATTCTATCTTAATTTTTTGTAGGAGCAATAGAAATATTAAAAAAATTAATCGAATCAATACAAATAATGATAAATATCTCAAATTTCATTTTCGATCCAATCTTCTACCAAAACAAGATAAAAATTAGCCTCGTCGTGACTTAAGATGGATAATAAAACTAATTTAAATGCATTCCTCGATATTGATATGATCAATATATACATTAAAAATATCATATATATAAGTGAGCAATGAGTTCAAATCCTAATCATATATAAGTGAGAAATGATTTCAAATAAATTTTTGGACGACAAAAGTTAAAAATGTGTGAACTTGGAGATTTATTCTGAAGATTACACAATAGTCTCTTCCTATTTTTCATATTTGAAGAACTATTTAGCCACGATTGTTATCCGGGGGAAAAAAACTGAAAGCAGAAGGAACTCAAGGAAGAGAGAGAGAGGGAGGACGTGGGAGTTGGGAATCTTCAAAGCACAGAAGAATCGGCACAATCCCTTTTGATTTCCACAGCGTTAGGTTACAAATCGAAAGCCCAATTGCCCCAATTAGCTCCGCCACTCATAAAGTTTCCGTCTTTTCTTTGTTCGCTCTCTCCATCCATCGCCGCCACCGCCATTCCCACGAAACCCTAATTCCTCAGCTTCTCCGTCGGAACCCACCGCAATGTCTTTCTCCCACTCCGACCACAACCACGATCCCGACCGCCGATCCCAGCAGCAACAACCGCAGCCCCGTCTCTACAACCCGTACCAGGACCTCAACACCCCGATCAAAACCCTCTACAACCTACCCACCTCGCCGGAGTACCTCTTCTCGGAGGAATCCATCAAGCAGCGCCGCTCGTGGGGCGAGAATCTCACCTTCTACACCGGCACCGCCTACCTGGGCGCTTCCGTCGGAGGAGGCGCCGCAGGGCTCTACTCCGCGGTCAAGGCGTTCGAGCCGAACGACACGCTCAAGCTCAAGGTGAATCGCGTCCTCAATAGCTCCGGCCACGTGGGCCGGGTCTGGGGGAACCGGATCGGGATCGTCGGGTTGATCTACGCGATGGCAGAGAGTGGGATTGTTGCGGCTACGGATCGGGATGACGTTTGGACCAGCGTTGCGGCCGGGCTCGGGACCGGCGCCGTTTGTAGGGCGGCGAGAGGGGTGAGGTCTGCTGCTGTCGCTGGGGCTTTGGGAGGGCTGGCTGCAGGAGCTGTGGTGGCTGGGAAGCAGGCGATGAAGAGGTATGCCATGATTTGATCGGAACAGGGGGAGAACGAGGAGAAAGGTTGGAGCTTTGAGGTTAGGGTATGAGTTCTTTTTTTAGTCTTCTCCTTTAGACTTTTGGTTTGTTTGGTAATAAGCATTTGATATGATATGTTCTGCTCCAGTTTTGATCGTGATAGTAGAAATTTGGTGGAAGGGAAATTAGGAAGAAGAAGAAGAAGCACAGGGAGAATGAATCAAAAGGAAAGAGTAGTTAGTTGGTAAGTGTGGAAAAATTCAATGTTATTTTGGCATGGAAGAATCATGCTGTGATGAACAACAAAAATTTGATGAAATGTATAATGGTGGTGTTCTCATTTCTCTGGTGATGTAATTCGCCGACTTTGTTCGAATTTAAGGAATAACATTCTGCTGCTGCTTTGATATAGAGCTACAAATGTTGTAGTGCATTTGTGTTTGTGCTCCGGCGTGGTTGCGTAATATCTTGATCTCAATGAGTATCCTTGATAAGGAAATCTATGCTGTTTGGAAGCTTTTTTTTGTGCTGTGGATCTGTTGTTGCAGGTCATCTTTCAGTTTAGGATCTTATTAAGCTGCTAGTGCTGAGTTTTTGTTCATCCATCAGATGTATAATGCATCATGCATGTATGCTTTGGCTGCAGCTTATTCCTTAATCCTGTACCTCTCAGCTGTGTCGAACCGTTCTTGATGTTACTTTCTAGGTAGAGGTCTGTTGGTCTTTTATCCAACTAGGCAATCTCCTGCTTTATACCATGTCTAGGATGAAATCTTAATGCAGAGTGCCTGACAGTGTGCATGGTTTGTTCAAAAAAAGAATGGATTTGAACACCTGCATAATCTGGTTCAACAATGAGGATCCAATGGTGCTGGTTTTGTGTTTCTAGTTGTGACTTGTGTCAGTGGCTCCTTGCCTGTCACAAAGTCAGCCAAGCTTAATGATGTGTTTGAGTTTTTAACTTCTTTATCCTTTTTCTGGCTTGTGAATTTCATGCAAATTCTTGTAATCTTGTTAGTGATGACCACCCCAATTTCCCCATTCTTGTACATTTTTAGACAGTTTGCTAGAAAAAAGCCAAAGAGGCGGAAAAAATCCCAAAGTACACTAGTTTTTAAAAAAAATTTCCAAAATACATAAGTTATAAAAAAAATTCCAAAAGTACACATGTTTGAGCATCACTGTTTTAGACAAAAACGGTGAAGGTCATCACCGCTTTTGACCAAGACGGTGAATACTTCACCGTTTCAAACTAAAACGGTGAAGGGTTCACCGCGTTTGTTAAGAACGGTGAATACTTCACCGTTTTAAACAAAAACGGTGAAGCCTTCATTTGAATTCCAAGTATTTTGATAACTCTAAATGGTTCTCCTCGTCGATACGATCGCGCTGCCGAAAACGGCTCGTCATTTCGACCTCAAACGAATAAGATACGCGCGTTTTAGTTTTTAGTACGCAAAAGTTACTTTAACGACATGTGCAGCTTTGAACTCACTTATCTCACTCGTTTGGACTCGGAATTGAGATCTGTAAAATTCTATGTGATCGTGGTTGATTTTCCCAACCTTTTTGTGTTGAGGGAAGATAATGATTCTTGATAAAATGATCCAGAATATTCATTCGACAACTTAAGTGCGTAGGATAGTTTTTAGACAATGCAAACTCAAATAACAACACCTAAAAATCACAAAAACAACATTGATAGTTCACTACAATGATAAAATGATAAATTCACTCATTTGCTTCACTTTGGCCCCTATCTCCACCTCTTCCTCCTCGTCCTCCACGACGTCCTCGACCCCTTCTTCCCCCCTCCGCCACTGCTTCTTGGCGGGCTCGCTCAACGGCTGGTCGCGGATTTCTCTTGACCCGAGCCCCAACTGGGGTTACATATGGTGGTGGTGGTGGCTGAGTTGGACCGGTAGCTTGACGAATGATCGGGGGGTTCGGAGTTTGTTGTTGCGGATGTTGGAATTGAGAGAACCCATGATGTTGTTACATATGGTTCTCTCAATTCCAACATCCGCAACAACAAACTCGTGGAGGACGAGGAGGAAGAGGTGGAGATGGGGGCCAAAATCAAGCAAATGAGTGAATTTATCGTTTTATCATTGTAGTGAACTATCAATGTTGTTTTTGTGATTTTTAGGTGTTGTTATTTGAGTTTGCATGGTCTAAAAACTATCCTACGCACTTAAGTTGTCGAATGAATATTCTGGATCATTTTATCAAGAATCATTATCTTCCCTCAACACAAAAAAGTTGGGAAAATCAACCACGATCACATAGAATTTTACAGATCTCAATTCCGAGTCCAAACGAGTGAGATAAGTGAGTTCAAAGCTGCACATGTCGTTAAAGTAACTTTTGCGTACTAAAAACTAAAACGCGCGTATCTTATTCGTTTGAGGTCGAAATAACGAGCCGTTTTCGGCAGCGCGATCGTATCGACGAGGAGAACCATTTAGAGTTATCAAAATACTTGGAATTCAAATGAATACTTCACCGTTTTTGTTTAAAACGGTGAAGTATTCACCGTTCTTAACAAACGCGGTGAACCCTTCACCGTTTTAGTATGAAACGGTGAAGTATTCACCGTCTTGGTCAAAAGCGGTGATGACCTTCACCGTTTTTGTCTAAAACGGTGATGCTCAAACATGTGTACTTTTGGAATTTTTTTTATAACTTATGTATTTTGGGAATTTTTTTTAAAAACTAGTGTACTTTGGGATTTTTTCCCCAAAGAGGCAGACACCTTAAACTTTCTGCTCATATTTGCAGCTATAGCTTCTATCCGTGAAAGCTATGTATACTTCAAACATATTTGGGTAAAACACTCCTCTTATCACTAGGGCCCGTTTAGTATAGTTTAGTATAGTTTTGTTGTTGTTGTGGTTGTAGTATGGTTGTGTAACACAAGAGAAACCACAACAACATAAAAATAGAAAACAAAAACATGTTTAGTTGGTAATTATGACATATCATAGAAATCGACAACAAAAAACAGAAACGCGTTTAGTTCTTTGTAACGAAAAATCATAAGAACATTTCTCAATATACAGCAAAGGAAACATGGATTGAGCTGTTGAGCAGGGGAGGCCCGGCAGCGGCTGTTGAGTAGGGGAGGCCCGGCAGCGGCTATTGAGTAGGGGAGGGGAGTTCGCGGCGGCGGCTGTTGAGCAGAGGAGGGGAGGTCGCGGCGGCGGCGGGTCGGAGGGCGGAGGCGGGCGGTCGGGAGGCGCGGAGGCGGAGGGTCAGGAGGTCGGAGGGTCGGGAGGGCGGAGGTGGCCGGCATGGAGTGGGGAGAAGGCGCCGGCGTGTATGGCTGGAGGGGAGAGCGGCACCTGTGTTTGAGACAAAATTGGAGAGGTTGGGGGCGGCTGAAGTAGGGTTTGGGGGTGGTGTTAAAAAAACAATTTTTTTTGCTTCTGTGGGGATTCGGAAACTGGTCTGTTTTAATGAAATCAAGCGCCCAACCAGTAGAAATCCCGTGTGCAACATGTTTAAGAATCATATCCAAAGCTATAAATTGTTGTTTCTCATATTTGGGCCTTGTTGTGCAACTCTGATTCACAACAAAAAATAAAAACCCAACTAAACACGATTTTTTTTCTTGGTTTTCCAAATTTCTTAAAACACAACGGGAAACAAAAACAAGCAACAATACTAAACGGGTTAGTTTTAATGTTAAATACGGATGGATTGGGTAGGACGGATTGGTAGATTTAGGTGAGCGTTTTCTTTTGTACAATCCGTCTCTTTTGAATTGGATTTAGATTTTGGATTATACAACTTGTAGTATCCGACCCTACCCGTGTTCCAACTATTGATATGAGTTCGTAACCAAAAAATATTTATATCGTATATAGTCATACTTATGAGAAAATTAAGATATTTCGCTATATTTTTCTCTTATGGTCTCCCTAATCTTATGCATTCTTTGGCTTAAAAATTTAGACATATATTAAATATAGCTATGATTCACGTAATCCTTTTTCTTATGTACAATGTTAATAGAATAGCATATTACGGATGTGTTCGTTTATAACCTTTTTAGCACATTTCGACAAATGTCATAAAAAAACTAGACATGTTTTGATACCTTTCACCTCAGTTTATTCGTTTTAAATTTTAATTAGTTATAAAAATATCTCTATGGTTTAGAATAATTACATATTTTGTGTTGGTTGGGTTTCTACTTAAAAATATCACCAACATGACCCAACCTAGTTAGAAACAAACTGTAGAGTTTTTTTTTTTATGGGTTTGGATTTAATATTTCTCAAACCGTAATGCATGGGTCGAGTGATTAAAATGGCTACACCTGAGCCACCCAACTCATGTACACCCTCAGAGCATCTCCATTGGTGCAATGGCATTTGCAATTGCATTTGTTTTTCTTTTTTATTGTTACTTCATTTTTTTGCAATCCAACTCATCTTACTTGCATTGCACCACATCAATGCAATTAACTTGTAATAGCAACTAATTTTTTTTATTTAATTTATTAAAACATAAACACTCAAATAATAAAATTAATGAATACTTTAATAATAAAAAAGATGATGTGGCTTGCATTCCATAATTGCATTATATGCAAGCTTGCAAAGACGCAATTGTCATCTACATCAATGCAATTGCATAATGTAATTGCAAATTAATGTCATATCATAATGCAATTCTAATTGCAATTCCAATGGAGATGCTCTCACATCATTTAAATTTAGAATAAGACATCAAGTATCATTAGAGTCTTATGAAAGTGCATTCAACCCATTTCTGTCCAACCCAAAATATTAGTTACATTTTGGTTCTCATAACTTTATTGAAAGGCAATTTCTTCATAAATAACCACGAGAAACCAATAAGAGGCTTATGTTTCTAAATAAATTCAAATCTAGCTCAAAATTCTTATACTACTGCTAATGAACGACCTTCTAAAATCTATGGGTTTAATGAAAAATATTGTGATTTAAGTAGATGATCTAATATTTAGTAAACTACTTACTACTAGGCGACATGAGTTTGAACCTAATTAGCTTACTTTTGAACCTAATTAGCTTACTTTATAAAATAACTATGAGTAGTTGATACAAATAGGTGACAAACTGAACTCGCCCTGTCAGATATATTCGAACCGTAGTAATGTGTGGCGGGCATAGTTATCTATGTCTAACCCATCCCGCCCTCGTTCTTGACCTATTATATATCAATTTCTTACATATCTATTCATACTTATCCTTTTTTTAAATATTTCTTCAACTAGTTAAACTCAATTACACATTCTATTATCATTGTCTTTCATTCATAAAATGTTTACTTTTCATTTTATTGTAAAATGTTAATTTTGCGTGTAATTTTTTCAAATAACATGTAAGATTGGATCAACCCACCCTGTCTCGTACCCACACATGTATAATACCCGCTTCAGCCCGCGCTTGGTGCGAAACGAGTATGAACGGTACTTGCCTCTCTCCATTACAATCAGTACATACAAAGGATGAGTCTCACCATAGTTGGTTTTAGAGCTCTTGACACTTGTGAGGTAAAAGTATTTCGAATAAATTCAAAAGAATTTTGGTAAAAAGGAAAAGAAGATGTATTACTTTTAAAATTTAGAAGAATATTTTGTCAATTTTACCATAAAGCACTTATTATAGACTAGATTTATGTGGTACCCAATACACAAAAGAGTATTTAGTGATATGCACTTCCTTAAATAAAGTAAAGTGACATGCACTCATCAACCTGTAAATTCAAGTGACATCATAGGTATTTTACTCTGCATATGTATTGTGTAAGAGGGTTCATCAAGGTTGTCAAACCGGTTAATACTATTGTGCCGGTTTAGCTAGTGTAATGGTACGATCAGTTGTACAACCGGTTTGTGTTGGTTTGTGCCGGCTTAATAAAATACGATATTTCAAACAAAATAATAAATACTCATATTTAAATACAACATTTAACATCAATACTTAAAGTCTTAAACGCTTATACTTGAATCCAACAAATTACATCAACTTTTAACTTTTATATTCATAAAATATGTAATAAATTGATTTTTCATTAATTAAATTTACTAAACGACGTCGATTTGCTTAGAGTTCGTAAATCAATCATGTCGGTCATACCGATGGCATGACAACCATGGGGCATTGAATGTCAAACCAAAAATAATCTTGCATTCAAGAATCTAAATCGAGTGCGATTAAGCGTCGGATTGGTCTTATTTGATCCAAGTATCGGTGTCCAACACTAACCTGAGGGCGCCAGCCCTTAAACTAAACAAGAATTTTGAATGTAAATACAGGAAATGAAATAGAACAAGAATTTTGAATGTAACTATACGAAACATCGACTTGGTCGATTAAAAATCTTGCATCTGCAGAAGCAATGGAATGGGGCCATTTGTTCTTTCCGTCTCTGCTGGTGTCAAAAAATTTGAGGTACCTTTTGGGTTTACAAAGCCTTGAAAATCCCCTATCTTATTGAACTCATCAACAACGGTTTCTTTTTACTCCCCTAAAGGAAATGCTAACTCTATCAAACATGCTTTTGCTCGTTCGAATTCAATGAATGCAATAAAAAACCGGAATGGAGTTTCCAACAGTGTTATCAGTGTGTCTGGTTTCAGATGCACGCTTGGCTTCCATTGCTTGCCCACGTGGTTCAATTCTCTATAGCAACATCGACTCAGGATTCTCAATGTAACCCTTGAATGCCTTCAGCCATTCTGCCCCAATAGCGCCTGATACACATATTCAGCAGTGTCAATGCTATTATGTTGAGTCAGAATGTATAGATGATTGTAAAAAAAGATGTTCGGTAAAGATCATACCATCGATAACCCGATGGTCACAGCTTAGTGTCACGGCCATGAATGAAGCAAACGAGTAGGCATCAGGACCGGAACCGGGTACTACCCTCTTCTCAGCTGTTGAAGGTGGAAGCAAATTATCATCAGCAGGGAACCATCAAGTCTTTGTTGGTGTGGCAGGAAAGGATTTATCTTTTACCTGAACCAACAGCTAGAATTCCTGCCTGCGGAGGATTCACAATGGCGCAGAATTGTTTGACGCCAAAAGGCCCGCCCAAATTAGACACAGTGAATGTTCCTCCCTGTCACATTAATAGACATCGCATGATTTTAAGTAAAGTTTTTGGATAGAAGCAAGTCCAAGGAGGAAAGAACAAATAGAGAGAAATAGTGATTAGTACCTCGTAATCTTCTGGCTTCAAGCTATTGTCCCGGGCTTTTTGGGCCAAATGTTTGACTTCTTCCCCAATTGCTGACAAACCTTTCTTGTCGGCATCCTGGGATATGTTATAAGCATGATTTGCGTTAAGGACTAATCTATCAGTAACAATGGAATTGAACTTGGCATACAGCAATCTCTAGGATCGTCATTTCTTACCCTAATAACTGGAACGTACAGCCCATTATCTGTTTGTACGGCTACGTTGATATTTACATTCTTATACCTGTACCAAGAACAGAAAAGAAAAGAGATGATACATGATTTACCATACTAATAGTGTCCGGATATTTGACCCTTTTCAAGATATTAGAGTCTGTGGAGCATATACTCACTGGCGAGTGTAAGTGTCATTCCATGAACTATTGCATTGTGGAACTTTCTTAAGGGCCAAAGCCACAGCCTGAGATAACAATGAAGATGAGAAGGAAATATATTTAAGTTGAGATAGTAGCACCACAAGGAAGATCGGCATTAGCAATTATGTCACAGTGATAATTGAGCAAGCAGATCTACAAACATCAAAATATTTTATATGTTTGACAAGAAAGGCCGTCTACCTTGATCACAAGATCATTTACAGATATCCGCTTCCCGCCTGAGGCCTCTTGCAAAGAATTGAGTTGGCTGCGCAATCTGTAGTGGGAAGATCACAGTTCAAATTATAGAGCAACAGAATGGATCATAAGCAAAACATCAGATAACATAAAAGAACACTCACTCCATAAGTTTATCAACTCGTGTGTCAACTGTTAAGTAATAGTGAGGAACAGTTTGCTTCGACAGTAATAAGCGTGCAGCAGTGACCTGTCACATGATACAAGCAACTGTACTGAGAGCCAAGTTAAAAGCATAACATGAAATTAGAAAAAGAGATGCTTAAAGGTATATTGTACTGTTGCTGTTCCTAACAAATAAAGCAAAACGGAAAATTTTGCAGAACACTCGGCCCAAAAAGTTGTTTTCCCTGGACGTGACTTCTGTCACGAAACAGAACGCTTCTTGCGAGTTCAGTTTCAATAGAGATGGCTACTAATATTACCTTTCTAATTTGAGTGTGAGGAATGTCAACATAATCCAAAGCAGCATCTGCTACACCGGCCTTGGTCCTTGGTGCTGGTGCAGAAACTTCCTTGCCACGTGAAGCTATAATTCAGAGAAATTCTTTAATATGTTAACTCAAAAGCAACAATGGAAAGCAACGTCATCCGTAGGCCAAGGAATGTTTATCAAACAGATGGGGAAAGAACAATGTGTAGCATCTATACTTACCCAAGTAATCTTCTATATCAGCCTTCACAATTCTTCCATCAGGACCAGTTCCTTTGATTTCTGAGAGAGATACCTATAATTCATGCCACAAAAAGAAAATGAAAGAGTGGTCACAATTGACCTGGACAAGGTAGCTAAACCTATTGAGAAAATGCCATTTAGTGCTTCAAGTCACTAACCTTGTGCTCTTCAGCCAATTTCTTTGCCAGAGGGCTAGCAAAAATGCGATCTTCAGAAGATGCTGGAGTGAGCTTGGGGGTCTTTGGTGCTGGAGAACTAACTGGTTCCTCAACAGCCTCTTTTGCTGGTGGAGGTGGAGCAGAGGAAGATGGCTCTTTAGGTGGTGCGGCATCTGCTCCTGAAGCCGAAGGGCTGTAGTCCTTAAACTTTCCAATGTCTTCCTCATCTTCAACAGTAATGGCTATGATCTAAACAAGATTACAAGCAGTGAACAGAAGATACAATTGAAGTCTAATGTCTGAATCTTGCTACTTCATAGTTCATAACGAGTTAGACAGTGCGGATTCAATTTATTTCCCCTTTTGCAGATGCAGCTTTACCAGATAGAGTGGATTACCTCGCCAACTTTAATTTCTTTGGCTCCATCTCCCTTTACAATCTTCGCAAGAAAACCCTCTTCCATGCATTCCATTTCGACAGTTGCTTTATCCTTCAAAAGTTAGGAGAGGGGAGAAGAGCATGTTAACACTCTACATGCACAATGCAAATAAAACCAGAAAAGGAATGGCAGTGATAGAACGAGGAACATACAGTTTCCACTTCACAAAGCACTTCACCTGGTGAGATTTTATCACCCTCTTTCTTTAGCCATCTTGCTATGTTCCCCTGTAGAATAGAGAAAATGGAAAAGCTATTAGAAGACAACAAAATACTACAACGGTAGTAAGCTGCAGGAAAGGTACATGCCTCTGTCATTGTTGGTGAGAGAGACGGCATTCCAATCTCCTGATGTGGAGGTAGACCTGCAACATCGATGCATGGTGCATCAGTTAAAAATAGACTTTCACAGTTTTCACTTATCGAGTACAGAAGCAAGTTGGTGGTAGGACATTGCACCTGAATCAGCTGAAAAGGCTCTCCTTGAGTGTACTTGTGAGCTAGCATCAGAAAATAAGAATTTTAAGGTTGTATATGATAAAAAAAAAAAAAAAGAAGATAATATTGACTCTCAACAAGTTTGTGAATGAAAGAACCATACCCGGCCACCGGCACAAGCATTGGATTTCCTGATCTCATGATCATGGTTGAAACATGTCTCTTGAAAATACCCAAGGATGAAACCTAACCAACCAGAATGAACAGGTAAATACTTCAGAACTAAGCCTGGTTCAAATGTGCATACAGAACTGAAAGTTCAAAAGAAGTGGAATTAAAATGCATAAGAAACAGAAAAACCAAACAGAGCACTTACGGGGCCATTGGCAGTACAGGAGAAACTTCCTTTTTCTGCAGCCACATTTACATGATTGCGGGCCTTCAAAATTTCTGCAGACAACCGATTCGTCATGGGAAGATTTAGAAGATTCTAACTCCAGTTTAAAGGCCACCAAATCAAAACACGAAGTAACGACTGCAAGAAACAAGTAATCCATGCCCTCCTCCTGCTCTCTTAATACCAACTGTCATAAACCAGTTGGTCCCAATAACTTGAGTTGTTGGGAGAACCAGTTGGTCCCAATAACTCGAGTTGTTGGGAGAAGGTTATGCTGGATCTCCACACTCTTACACCAATTAGTACTTCCCAAAGCAATTTGATCATCGATGAACTGCACAAAGCAAGACTAGTCTACAAACAAATGCCGCCGAAGTTCACAAATACCTTCTCTTTTACCAAGAGGCTCATTCGAGAACCAACGAACCAAGCCTCCATGTCTGTACCGCAATATGCTGGGAACGTCCCTTAGCTGCAAAAAGAAATCCCCAGAATTCAGATTGCAAAACGGGATGCCACTAAGTTATTGGAAGCAGAAAGAAGCAGAGAGATAATATTAATTTCACAATCGCAGAGCTACATAATCAGCTGGCCTGACAGTTCATTGACAATAGTTACGACAGACGGACAAAAGGCAATGAAAACAGATTTCTGATGACCCGTTAATTCAATAAGCCCCCATGAAGAGATCGAAATCGAGCGAATACTCAATGAAGAGAGATTTTTAATTTCTAGTGAGATAACCATGGCTCGCACACACATCCATGGTTTGTTTCATTGAATCAAAGCTGAATCGGGAAGGGGGAAGTGTAGTGATTCGGAAGCTTACCTTCTTCGAGTGATTCATTATGCGAGATGCATACGCCATGGCAGGTTTCTTCGATCAAAGGTCGAAGCTTCGTGTTCGTAGACAGAAGGGCAGAAGGGAGAAAGGAAAACCCCAAAAGATTTGGCAGATGGGAAGTGCTCGTGGTGCGGAGTGTGGAAGAAAGAAGAGCGAAACCCAGGGAATATGGGAAAGAAAAGGGCTGTTTGGTCGATGGGAAAATTTCCCTGAGAGCACACCAATTGAGAAAATTAACAATAATCTGTCTTTGTGGCAGGGCTCTCACTTGTTTTTATTTACATTTTTTTATGTATAATTTATTTTGCATTACTGTTAATACTTAATAGTAGTTTTTTATATTGATCAATTAATCTCAATATTTTAAGTCTATTGAATGAATTTAATTAATTAACTTTTTTATATGTGTCTTAGCATTTTGATTTGATTTTTTTTTATCAAAGGTATTTTGTAACAGAATGTTCAGATACGAATATATAAACGATCTAAATAGATCAAATTAAAAAAAAAAACATACTGGTCAATTAAAGGTTTAACCAACAAAGAAAGGATATTTTCCTTCACAATTTAGACAGTCCTGTTATACATATGGCTGAGCATCAAACCTTCCAAGCTGAAAGCCTTAAACCGAGCTCAAACTATCAGACGAAAGCAATCCAGCCAACTTCTACAAAAATAATAAACAACATAAAATGCCAAAAAAAATGAAGTGTCACCTCCAATACTTTAGGAAAGTCCATCAATATGAAGGCCTCGATAAGATTTGCCTCAAGTGTGAGAAGTTCTTTGACCACATTGGATGCCCTTGCTCTTTCCCAGAGGTGCAACAAGGTGAAGGAGGTACGAAGCCGTCAGAGACCCCAGGGAACCAGAGCCGGAAAAGGTGTACGGAGAATGGATGATTGCTAAAAAGAAACCACGGGCTGGCCGCCAGGAGAATAACTCAAAGGGAAAACAGAATGTGCAGCATGAGACTCAAAATAAAGTTTCCCACCAGAGCGGCTCAAGCTTCACGGCACTGGTGAACGAGGAAGTGATGGAGGAAGATGGTGGACACTACCCAGGAGCAGCCGAAGAAGCCAGAAAGGAGTGATAGGGGTACTACGGAAGGAAAATCACAAAAGAACACCAAGGGGAGTGAGCCGAGTAAAAACCTCAGTGAGGTCCCTAGTGCTAAGGTAACCTCGAATAACATTAAAGGGAAGACTCAAGTGGAAATCCGGGCTAAAGAACCGAACCAATCATTGGTGTGTGACACCCAGCCAAGCCGGGACTCTACTCGTAGGGAACAAGTTAAAATTTCTGAGACTAATCAGGAGGGAGTTCACCCGGGGGGATGGGGTAAGGGTCCACGGGAAAAGCCGCCAGATAGTCGAGCTGAACCTCCCCAAAAATAAACGGCAGGCATGCAAATAATATGGATATGGAACCAACCCCGAGTGCAACTAGTGTGACGATGGTGGGCGGCCTCAGCTTTGAGGCGCCCGCCGCCTAAACGCTTGGTGAAATACAACCAAGACCTCTCTTTCCATAGTTGAAATGATTAAAGTCTTTGTATGGAATTGTAGGGGCGCGGGAAGCAATCGCTTCCTGAGAGTGTATAAGGAATATCGGAGGAAATATCGTCCGAGTATCGTGATATTGGTGGAACCTAGAATCAGTGGCACTAGAGCAGAAGATGTGATTAAAGAACTGGGTTTTGATCAGAATCTGGTCGTGGATGCGGCGGGCTTTGCAGGTGGAATTTGGGTTGTTTGGGACTCGAGTTCGGTCACAATTACGGAGGTCGATAGAGCATCCCAATTTCTACATGTCCGGGTTAGCTACGGGCAAGTTCAGTGGCTGCTGACGGCTATTTATGCAAGCCCCGCTCTAGTCCAGCGAAGAGACTTGTGGAATTCTATCCGCGATCTGGCTGAAGGAATCACAGAGCCATGGATGCTAGCGGGAGACTTTAACTCGATTCTCCAGCCAGCCGACAAGTTGGGCGGCGCACCATTTGATGCTGCGAGAGCTCGGGAATTTCAGGATTGCATGTTGGATTCTGGGCTAATTGATCTCGGCTTTACAGGGCCCCCTTACATGTGGTTTCGAGCTGGTGTGAAAGAAAGACTAGACAGAAGCATAGTGAATGCCTCTTGGACTGGTACCTTCCCGGACACGGTGGTGAGCCATCTCCCTCGGGTTCGGAGTGATCATAGACCCATTCTCATCACGGTCGATCCTTCATTCCAGCCAGGAGGTCCCAAGCCTTTCAAGTTCTTGGCGGCTTGGCTACTGCATGATGGATTTCCTGACATGTTGGAGAGAGCCTGGGCGCGAGGGACAGACCTGGTTTCGGCCGTTGCTGAATTCACGAGGGAGGCAACGACTTGGAATCGAGATGAGTTTGGTAACATCATGCGAAAGAAGGATAATCTGCTCCGGACGATCGAACGACTAGAGCACAGGTATGGCGGTGAGGATGATAGCCCAAACCTTCGGCAAGCTCGAGACGACCTGGAGGATATTCTTCTGCAGGAAGAGCTTCTCTGGTGCCAAAAGTCCAACATGGAGTGGATTGCCTCAGCGGATAGAAACACGCGCTACTTCCACTCCCGTACCATCAGCAGACGGAGGAAGAACCGGATCTCGGCATTGAAGAATAACGCAGGGGAGTGGGTGGAAGATCAAGCTAGTCTACTTGACATGGCAAGGGAGTGCTATGAATCTCTGTATACGGATGATGGGGAACCAGTTCGAGTCTTACAGGCAATGTTTGATGAGATCCCAGCGACTGACTGGACCCCCACTGCAGCTCAATTCACTATGGAGAAAGTGCATACGGCGATCAAGGCGATGGGCGGGCTAAAGGCGCCGGGAAAGGATGGTCTCAATCCCCTATTTTATCAACGGAACTGGGAACTTGTAGGAGATGCAGTGCTGAAGTTTGTACAGGCATGTTGGAACCAGCCAGCCAGGGTGAAGGAATTGAATGAAACTATTGTGGTCCTCATCCCGAAGGTGGCGAAACCAGCTACGATCGACCAGTTCCGGCCGATCAGTCTCTGCAATGTCTCGTACAATATGATAACTAAGTGTCTAGCAGAAAGAATAAAGCCTCTCATGCCTCGCCTGGTGCATGAGACTCAAACGAGTTTCGTCCCGGATCGACACATTACTGACAATATCTGTATTTTGCAGGAAGTTGTTCATTCCATGCGGGCCAAGAAGGGCAGGACAGGCTGGATGGTCCTCAAAATTGATCTTGCCAAGGCCTATGACAGGATCAAATGGAGCTTTGTTAGTGACACTTTGCAGGCAGTGGGAGCTCCCAGACAGTTTATTGATCTAACGTTGAGCTGCATCTCCTCTTCAACCATGCAGATCCAGTGGAACGGGGGGCTTACAGAGCCTTTCGAACCGTCCCGAGGCCTTCGCCAGGGCTGCCCGCTGTCCCCCTATATCTTCACTCTCTGCATGGAACGGCTAGGTCATATTATTTCGAAGGCGGTGGCACAAGGCGAATGGAAACCAGTGCGCCTCTCCAGCCAGGGGCCCGCACTGTCCCATCTTTTCTTCGCCTACGATCTAATCCTGTTTAGCGAAGCATCCACGAGCCAGGCTCAGGTTATTCTGAGGTGCCTTGAAGAGTTTGGGGCGGCGTCGGGCCAACAGATTAGCAGGCCAAAGTCTCGGGTGTTTTTCTCGAAGAACGTGACTGCAGCAGAGGGAGGAAGGTTGAGTACCATGTTAGATATCTCGGAGACCAAGAATCTTGGTCGGTATCTGGGGGTACCAGTGATCCACGACAGGGTGTCAAAGGCAACATATACAAAGCTTATTGATCGGATTGACTCTAGACTAGCAGGTTGGAAAACCAAGTCATTATCTTTGGCGGGCAGAATAACTCTTGCACAGTCGGTTTTATCCTCTCTCCCAGAGTATACGATGCAGACCTCCTTCCTGCCGGCGTCTGTGAGGGAGTACATTGATAAAAAGATCCGAGGGTTTATTTGGGGCAGCTCGGAACAGGGTAGGAAGATCCACCTTGTGGACTGGGATACAGTTTGCAAACCCAAAGAGGAAGGCGGGTTGGGAATGCGTAGTGCTACAAGAATGAACCAGGCATTCATGATGAAGATTGCTTGGAGGTTGTTGACGGAACCAGATCAGCTATGGGCTCGAGTGGTGCGGGGTAAGTATTTGAGGTGTACGGATGGAGTTTGGAAACCGCGGACGACAGGCCGTATGTCAAATTTATGGCGAGGAGTGTTGCACATCCTCCATTATATTCCGAAAGGATTGATGTGGAACGTCCAAAGTGGCTCTCAAGCTAGGTTCTGGACGGATACGTGGCTCCAAGATGGGCCACCTCTTATTGAATTCACGAACGAGCTCCCGGAAGAAGCACGCGACCTTACTGTTGCAGACCTGGTCCTAAATGGGGAGTGGAATCTCCCCTATATCCGAGTGTTCTTACCCGAAGCAGTGGTGTCGCAGCTGCTGCTCCATCCGGTGCCGGAGGGAAGTGCCCCAGATACGCCGGTGTGGAGGTTATCTCCGACTGGCTTGTTCACTATCAAGTCGGCGGTGGATCTACTTGGAGAATTGGAGGAACCTGGCCATCCGCACTCGGTTTGAAGGAGGTGTTGGCGGATCGAGGGCCCTCAACGTACCCGATCGTTCTTCTGGCTAGTGTTACATCAGCGGCTGCTCACTAACGCATAACTCTGCAGACGACACTTAACGCAAGCTGCTGTGTGTCCGGTATGTGGTGGAGGGCCAGAGACGACGTTACACGCGATCAGGGATTGTCCCTACGCAAGAGTGGCTTGGTCGAAAGTTTTGCGGGAAGAGCCGGACAGTCTGTTTTTTGAAGAGGACCTCACTAAGTGGGCACTGTACTACCTTGCCGGCCGGAGTGAAATCATTGATGCTAATCTTTTCGCCATCCTTTCTTGGAAACTCTGGAAAAACAGGAATAAGTTGGTGTTTGAGAAGACGCTAGCATCGCCTACAATAATGGCTCGACAAGCGGAGAAGCTGGCACGACAAAGCAGCCTAGCTATGAGTAAAGCTCAGAAGATTGCAGAGCAGCAGCAGCGGAAGTCCATGAGCTTCATTAATTGGCAAAAGCCCCCAACAGGGTGGGTTGCACTGAACACGGACGGTTCCGTGGTGTTAGCCTCGGGCAGCGCCTCGGCTGGGGGAGTGATCAGGGACAGCAG